TGAGCGCTGTGCTGGAACTGTTCCCGGATTTCGAAATCATTATGAACGCGGCCTAAAGACACAAGCGAAGAAAACACATTAGTGAAGAAAAAAGAAATTTGGAGTGGCGTCCAAAACGAGATCAGTGAAACTCAAAATACGTTCAATACACTTTTTAAGTGGATCATCTCCGTAATACATTTTGTCACGATGTTGAGAGGATTTTGATTTCAGGTACAATTCGATTAATATAGCGGCATGGCAACTATAGGCCGTCCGCGCAAGGCGCGGAGAGTGAGCAAGGTCTGCAGTGCGCTTCACTCCTTTTCCTCGTGCACTCTCGTCGTCTGTTTTCTCTGCGCCTCTTCCAGCCTTGTACTGCCTTCAACGGACGCAACCGCGTTGCTCTCCGAGAACGGAGCTGACGGCCTAATTCTTTTCGTACATTTTCTTCGTACCAAATTTCTTCATTAATGAGTTAATGAATAGAACAATCTTTATAACCCTACTTTATAAAACTAAAAGACTCTGACTGGATATCACATTTATGCCCTCAATGTCGGAGTTCACCATCTTCAAAAAACACTCCACCGTCCAGTGCACAATATTTCGGACAGACTCCCTTCTCGCCTGCCACTCCCTTCTTTCCCGGCAGTCCTGAAGGACCTGGCCTACCAGGACGACCAGGCGTCCCATCTCGCCCAGGAGGACCTTTGGGACCAGCATCGCCTAGGAATTCTCAGCTATATTGGTGAACAAATAATGTAACAAAAAGTTACCGATAATCCCATCTAATCCGGGATTTCCGGACGGCCCCTTTTGACCTTGCGGCCCAGGCATTCCTATCTGACCGGGTGGCCCAAATTGCACTTCACCGTCGCAAGATACACCTAATATACAAGGTGTCTCAAAGTAACTCTTTGTTTATTCATTAATGATTCTCTTGGCTAACAACGTTCACAGACCTCTAGACTTGTTCAGAGCTGACTTTGTATCAGGTTGTCCCAGAAGTAAACTCCATTTCTGATCAAATCAAGCTGTTTTTCTCTTCCTAGTAAATTCAAGGTGTCATTCGATAAAGCGAAGCAAGCTCTATCAAATAATCACCAAAGATCTTGAGTCGTAATCCAGGTAAAGAGTGAAGCCAATTTGAGAAAAATTTTAACACTTAAGATTGTTTTCTACGAGAAAAAATCTACAGACTTTGTCAAACTTGGTCATTATTCAGTATACACGTATTAGTACAACAATATGGCTTTGCTGCATGTCTCTGCGTAGTAAGAGACAAAAGCTTGCTCAAAAACGGAATCCGCCCCCAGCCCCTTCCATATATGTTATCGTGAACTACAAACCTTATTGAGTACTAGCTGGCATTCCCGGTCTTGCCCGGTTCTTGAGCCACGAAGCCACAGGAAGGACGGGGAGCGCATAAAAAATCTGTACTGCTTCAAACCTACGCCTTTCCATCTCTCATCCTGCTTCCATCTGCTGCTTCCCGCACCACCCCTCTCTTTCTTCTTCCGGTCCGGCGGCCTATATCTACCTGCAGGGTGCATTTGATTGCAAAGGCCTACCTCAAAGCAGC